GCGGTCTGTGATGCTTACCCCTCATGAAGGTGCTTGAGAGTCTCGTGCTGCTGCCGCACACCGGATTAAATTATGCCGACGTTCAAGGTGGGCAGTCGGCGGTTGACGTGAGCTGCTACAGCAATGTAAGCACACGGGCACCCCGGTTTCCAGGTGAGTGTTTCAAAAGACATTCAAGGTGGGCGGCCAAGCAGCACTGTCAGGACTTTTGTTTTAATATGGAAGCATCATTTTCATGCGCATGCACCTATCAACTGCCGCTTTTGAGGTGAACGTAACGTGCCTTAACGCTCAGTGTGGTTGTCATTGCACGAATGCAGAGGAAACACATGTGCAGCAGCTTAATCTAGTCCCTCCCTGCATATCGTGATGCTACTGTGCTCATAAAGCACTTATTATTAGTTAATATTGATAATTAATTATATTAACGAGATATATGCTGTAGACCGTAGTAAAATATAGAATATAATAATTTAACTTTACATGAGGGATGCTTCCCCCCTGAAGGAGGCTAAATATGCTGGTGTCTCCAAGCGCAGAGAAAAGAGGAAACTGTCTCCTCTGCTCTGTCCCTGCGTGTTCTCCTTTACAGCACCACCAGCGAAAACGGCAACAACAAGCAACACAAACAGAGATAAAAACGGAGACAGATATCCCCGCTGGCTGCTCTGCGCATGGGGGAGAATTCGGTCTCCTTGGCTCTGTCTGTGCAGAACACCCAGAGGAAACAAAAAAGAAAACAACAGAGACAGCGACGGAGACAGAGACAGAGGTTGGCACCCCCGTCGCCTTCATTCAGCATAAGGAGACTCTGAGAGACTGTGTGTAAACTGCACATCTGTGGCTCTTTCAGTGTCGTGGGGAGTGGAGACAGGGGACTGTCTCCTTTTGAAATGGAGGACAACAGATGTTTCCTTTCTATAGGGGACAAAGCACCCAGCCCAGCATTTGTCTCCTCTGTAGTGGCGCATGCATAATCAGGGCCTGGGGCTGTTCAAAGTCTTCTCCCGATGTTGCTAAAAAGGAGACATTAAGTCTTAGATGATAGACAGAAGACAGTACAGCGAAGTTGCTATAAGGGAGACACTAAGTCTAGGATGATAGAAAGAAGGCAGCAGAAAGGAGACACCGAGCCTACGGTACTAACGAGGAGACAGCAGAGAGGAGGCACCAAGCCCAAGGGTTCCAAGAAGGAGGCAGCAGAAAGAGGACAGCAGAAGGGATACACCTGGCCCATGATGCTAGGAAGGAGACACCAAGCCTAGGGTGGCGGGAAGGAGACAGCAGAGAGGAGACAGCAGAGCACGGTAGAGCAGAAACACTAAGTCTGAGAAGATAGAGAGCAGACAGACTATTAAATATGCTAGTAATGATAGAGCAGAAAAGAGACAGATGCAGCTGCTAGAAAGGAGAGAGCAGAAAGGAGACACCTAGAAAGGAGATAGAAGAGAGGGGACAGCCTATTGGGCTACTATGACGCCCGTATCCACAAGATACGGCACCTCAGCGGCCAGCCAGGGGCCCAGCTGCAGCACACATCACCCAACACACACACCAGCTGCCCCTGCAGCTGCCGCTTCTACGGTTACTGCCCCTGCAGCTCGTGTTGCTGCTGCTACTGCTGCTGCTACTGTTACCGGTACTGCTGCTGTTGCCACGACTGCTACTGCTACTACTGCTACTGTTACTGTTCCTGCTGCTACTCCTGCTTCTGTTGCTGCATCCTTCATCTCTGTAACAAGGCGAGACACGGCAGCAAGAGAGGAAGGAGTACAGACACAGCACCAGAGTGTCGGGTGTATAAGAACGAAAAACAGCAGCAGCAGCAGCAGGAGCAGCAGACCCACCCCAAGGGCTAGTGCATGCGCTATCCCAAACTTGGGGGCATTTTTACTCCACAGGGGAGCAAAATGAGCGTCCAGGCAAATGCGGCCGCCTCTGCATGCACAGCAGCAGCAGCAACAGCAGCAGCAGAAGCAACAGCAGCAGCAGCAGCACAGCAACAGCAGCAACAAAGCAAAGCCCACAAAACCCAGCAGCAATGGAGAGAAAGCGGTGCCTGTGTTTGCTTACAAGACATACAAAAAGAAACAAAACACCCCGACATACGTCAAGAGCAAAAGAACAGCAACAGCAGCAGCAGCAGAAGCAACACCAGTAGCAGCAGCGGCAACAGCATCAGCAGGAGGACGAGAATCAGCAGCATGATCCGCAACCGTAGGAGCAGCGCCAGCAGCAGAAGCAGCCGCAGCCGCAGGTGTAGCAGCGGCAGCAGCGGTTGACGCAGCAGCAGCACAAGCAGCAGCAGCAGCAGAAGCAGCAGCACCTGTACATCTTGCTGGTTTTCCCGTCAAGCTCGGGTAGCCGCAATTCAATAGGCGTTAATGGATATGTTGGGGGTATCTGCAGGAGAGACAACATATAAACAAAAGGAGACAGTC